GAGTACTGCATCCAGTTCTGGGCACTGCACTTCAAGAGGGATGTGGACAACATGGAGAGGGTCCAGAGGAGGGCCACTTGCATGATCGGGGGCAACAGGGCAGGCCCTACGAGGAGAGGCTACGGGACCTGAACCTATTCAGCCTCCACAAGGGAAGGCTGCGGTGGGGATCTAGTGGCCTGTTACAAACTAGTCAGAGTCCCTGTTCCCCTGAGCACTGCCAGGAGTGACCAAGAATAATGGTCACAAGCTGGCAGAGGATAAATTCAGATTAGACATCAGGAGGCGCTACTTCACAGTCAGGGCGGCTAGGATCTGGAACCAACTTCCAAGAGAAGTGGTGCTGGCTCCTACCCTGGGGGTCTTGAAGAGGAGGCTAGACAATCACCTTGCTGGGGTCGTTTGACCCCAGTACTCTTTCCTGCCATGGCAGGGGGTTGGACTCGATGATCTGCTCAGGTCCCTTCCGACCCTACAAACTATGAAACTACTAGGTCAGTTGCATCGAACTTGAGATAGGTGTCTCTGTGAGAGATGCTATAACCCCCCAAATCATTCCTGCTTTAGAGGTAGGTTCATGACAGTGAAACAAACTCACACTGTCTCCAGAAAGAGCACAAAGCCTGATGCTGCTATTTTAAGATAGGATCTGCCATCTATAGATTATGGTAAAACGTGTCAGTTTAGGAGGTTGAATATCTGCAAACAAATCCTGCTGAGGCTACTTTTGATGTGAAGTACAGAATTTCTAGTTCTGGTCTCTTGGAACATCTATGAAATAGCTAGCAATCTACTAATTACTGTTCAAATTACTTTATTCACTTTATATAAGAAGTATGGGAAAGGATAACCCAGGTGTAGGAAGGATATTGTGTTTTCATACCTGACCTTGAGCACAAATCCCTGACACTGGTATGAAGAAAATGGGTTTAGAGTAGACATTAAAGAAGAGCACTACAAATAACTGTGGTGCCATTTTAGGATTTGTACATCCCATTCTATAGATTTACTCCATAGAGTGTATTCTTTTGCCCTTGAAACTGCATTGTGCAAAGCTAACTTCCTTTTGTACTTAAATGCTAATGCCAACTGCAATTGAAGCTTTCTACAAGAAGAAAAATATTAAAATTTTAGAAAGTACATTCTTGTACATTGAGGCTTATAGGGTGAATGTAGTAAAGCATCCTCGTACATTTAAAAAGGGTTTTAGAGGAACATAGGACTGGAAGAGGCCTTGTGGGCCATTGCTGGGAACTGTACTCATTCATAGGCAGCCATTTATACCAGGATTCCCAAAAATTGCCCCAATAAGTCTAAAATGCCTTGGCTTGTTAATAGACTTGAACACAGGTGATTAGTTTACTACAGTTTTGGAATACTTGGGAAGAATAAAAACAATATTCTCATAGTATATTGCAGATAAAAAGGTGCGGACATTATGTTTAAGAAATTATTAGTTTGTTAATTATGTTTTAAGTAGTAATCCAGGCACATGTGCAGGCAATTAGTTGTGCTACAAAAACGGGAAAAGGTTAATGTTACACAATATTCTTGTGGCTGGTTTCCATCGTGCCATAAATTGAATTTATGGCAGGGTTAGAACTTGCATCAGGATTTCTAAGAGGCCCTGGTGTGGCTCCCATCAACACATGATCAGCTGTTTGCTACCTGGATCCAGGGCTGCACCAGGGCTCCAACTGGCTCGAGTGTGATTGCCTTTGGTTGGCAAAAAGCTGGTTCTGGGAAAAGGCCCAGTACAGTGCCTGGAACCAGCTGACAATCATCTGGTCCTCAGCTGGACTGGGACCATTTGGAGGCTCCAACTGGCCCCAGTGGTGGGTCAGAAGCTCCTGCCCCAACTGCTTTCCAGTCTGGCTCCTGAAGCTCCTCCTGGAAACAGGTGTGTGAGACAGTTTCAGCTGGCCACAGCGGTGCCAGCATGGACCTCGCGGCACCCTTGAAAAGGTCTCGTGGCATGCTGGGAGAACACTGCTTTGTTAGATATTCAAACTACAACTGTTTTGTTATAAATGGCCTCCTTGTTTAACAGATTCTTTACTTCATTTTACACTATGGGTCAAAAATTTGACCTATTTTACTACTTGCAAAGTTGATTCAGTATCTCTTTCTTTCAGGGCATGTCCTTCAGAATTTTCAAAAATCAATTCAAATGGTCATGAACAACCTTACAGTGATGCTAAAAGCAATTATGTGAATTTGAATCTTAATTTCAGTCTTTCCATAGCTTAGAAAATGGAAGAAAAAATTGCAGACTTTTTAATATATTTAGACAACGACCTTCTAAAATTTGTTCAAATTACATTTTTAATTTGAAGATTCAAACCAAATAATCAGAATTTAAGTTCAAATTCTGTTTTGATTGAAATCAGTATAAATATTACATATGCCTGTTTAGATGTGGGTTGTTTTTTTTTTTTAGTTCTCCTGATGCAACTTGAAAAGTCACTGAAGAGTTTTTAAAAAGTATGTTCTAAATGTCACAAATCAAGACAATTGTATCCATTAGAGTGATTTCTTTTTTCAATGATGCATGTATCTACTTAAAAACATAAAGCAATGAAACAGAATTAAGACTAACAGACAAAATTTAAGCTTTTGTTGCCCAAGTGTGTGTGTGTATGCATCTACATTGATGTAGAGAGATTTGAAATGAATTATAAATAATAAGAATTCTTGCATCTTCTGTCATTTGTCTCTCAAAAGGAAAGACTGGCAATTGCTGGCATAGCACTCGCCAGCTGTGAATTCATGTTTGAAGAAACAAGAAATTATGTTAAGCAAAGAAAAGCTTTTGGGAAAACAATTGCACATTTACAGGTGAGTTTGAATCAAGATACATAGATTGAAATGTGTGTGTATATATGTCTTTTTTCTAAATTTTAAAAAAAAAATACACACCAGAAATGCTAGACCGCTTTCAAAGATGATAATGTTTAATTAAGGATGTAACCAAAACAACTGTCTTCCCTCCTGATCAAATTTTATAGATGCTGCACACAAGATTTCTTAGCTACTAGGTAACTGAGTGCCTAAAATGACTCCACCAAAGAATGTTATTTCATCCTTTGTGCACATAACTCCTCTCCATTAATGGTAATTAATTGTGTATTTTGACTGATGAGGACGCTGCCCCCTAGTTATAAACCTGAAAAAAGGTTTTTGCATAATGGATTTTTTTAAAACAGCCTACCAGGCAAATGTTGACTTTTTTTTTTCAGACAGTGTTCATAGGATTTTCTTTGTTTGCTTTGTTTTTAATAAAGGAGTTTTCTTCAGTTTCTTTGTAAAACAAAACAAAACAAACAAACAAACAAACCCCAAACGAACAAAAAAAAAACTGGTTGTGGGGTCATCTTGAAAGCTGCATTAATATTACACATTTTTATGGGGAGATTATTCAAGTTCTAGTGTTTGGTACACAGAATGTGAATGAATCTTAAGGTTTTGGGTGTAGGCAGTACTTGTGTTTATTCTCTTGTAGCCAAGAGAGAAACCAAAAGCTTAAAAGCATCCCAGTTAAGTCCTGATGCTTTTCCTATTAGGTTGGGGCATGTTTCTCACTGACTTGAAAGCAGGTTCAGGCCCATACAAGCAAAACAATTAGTATCTTTTTACATAGTGTAAACTTTCATATGTTCAATTTAGTTTGTGTGTGTGAGATTATAAAAATCAAGGTGTGATTTAATATTTTCAGTTTGCAAACTTAATGCTGAATTTCTTCTTTGAAAATAAAATATTTCATACAGATGTGTGTCATACTTTGACAAACAGCAGCCTTGAAAGCAGGCTGCCTATCTTCAATAAACTCGATAAAATACAATATAATATCAAACCATTACATTACATGAATGTTTTCTGGGTTTTTTGCAGTATGGGTTGCAAAGATATATGTATAAAGCAAAGTTCTCTCCTTTCTAAGTAGCCTGCCATTTTGTCCAAATCATTTAGTCAGTCATGGACAGTTTTTGGAATTAGTCTTTTTCTTTGTTAATCTTGATTGATCAGTCATTAGAAAAACTGGGCAAGGCCAGTAGGACCTCCAATTATAGGGTAGCTTAAAAATGTGAAATAAGAAGACTTCTTCCTTGTTAACTGATCTTTTTTTTATTCCCATGCCAGAGTAGGAATTACTACAATATGTTTGACTGCTTGCCTTGTCTAGCTTTAAATAGTGCTGGCAGTTGGCTTTCTCTACTTTTATTTAGAAACATATTCCACTGTAACTGATCTCAGTGCTTGAGAAGTTTCCTGAAAGCCCATTTAAACTCTCCTTTGTTCAGTTGTATGCAATTATTTTTACTTGTACCTGTTTAAGCTTTACTTTTTTGATGATTGAATTATAACTTTTTTTTAAGGAAAAAAATCTCCTGGATTTTGATAATATACTTCTTTTAAAGAAATCTGATGTTTTAGAAATGTCTGGAATTTTATGGAGTGTTTCCAATATGCTAAGATAATTACTGCCTCTTAGCATAGAAACAATTTGCCACAAGAGGGAGCCCAGTTGACAAAGCATTCAGTGCAGAACCAGTATGTTACACTGTCTAGCAATTTATTTATTGAACTGCTGATGCATTGTTTTCATATAAAAAAAAAACAAAACAAAACTCAAATGTGTGACTTGATAAGTTTTATAATTTGCGTCTCTTCTGTTATTAGATTGGTGAGCTCACAGCTGTGTTAAAAACAGAAGAAAAGAAAATTAAACTTCTTTCTTCTGCGTAAAGTTCAAGTTGCTGAGACCTTGCTGGCAAATATTCGCCTCTTAACATTTCTCTTCTTTCAATGTGTTGTTTCTCTTTCTGTTCCCAAACAAAAACCAGGCTGTACAGCACAAGTTAGCTGAACTGAAAACGCAGATTTGCGTGGGCCGGGCATTTGTGGACAGCTGTCTCCAGCTGCACGCAGAGAAACGTCTGGACTCCTCCACAGCTTCCATGGCAAAATATTGGTATGCATGTTAAAGTAATATGGAAGGATATTACTGGTGTGAACTCCTCTGAATTCTAACATTAGAACATCTAACTGTCCCAACTATGTATTTAGCTCCACAGGTAACATTCCAGTGATTCAGTCTTAAATTATTGATGGCATCTAACATCAGAATTCATTAATTAAACTCTGTAGTGGTACAATGAGTATAAATCCTAGATAGGTACACTGAACCTTGGTATCTATTAATTGCAGCATTTCAAAATTAGTTACAGGATGTTTGCTTTTAAGATAAAGGTCCACTGAGCAAAATGACCTGACAACAACTTACTTAGTTTTGGTGAAAAAATTTACTGAATGTTACAAAAAAGTTTTACAGCTATAAAAGGTTAAAAACTATTGGCTTATCTTACTAGGTTTTCCTTACTTGAAGTTCACATAACAACAATAACATTTATATTTCTTACTTAATGAGCACTTACTTAGGTGTTGGACTTACCTACTTCCTCAAAACTGTGTGTTTTCAGAAAGAAATAGTTGGCCACAACTATATTTCTGTAACAAGAGACACAAGGTATTTTATTTTTCATAGTTGTATTTGTCACTGGCCGAAAGGAAAAAAACAAAACAAAACAAAACAAGCAACTTTCTCCCTCTTTTCCTTCCCCCCTCCTCCAGAAAAAAAACCCCAACCCCTAGGAACTTTTTGTATAGTTACTTATTAACTTGTGTTTAACCAGACACAGTTAGACATTAGAATCATCTAAGGTACAATACATTTTTTGTGACTGCAGACTAAATTAGCTGTAAAGATGGAAACTACAGACTGAAGATAAGGAAATATTGGAACATTTTGAAGAAAATGTATAGGCTTAAAGAATTTAGACTGGATTAAACCTTTAAAAAAAGTATAAGAATATGCACAAAAGTTAAGGGATTCCAGGTAAATCATTTACTATGCAAGGAAAGATTTTAATTGAGTGTTATTCCTGGCACTGCTTACCTAGCAGTACCTGGTACATAAGCAGAATAATTTAGCTTTGAGGAGGAGGAAACAAGTAGTGCCAGCCTAAATGGATACCTCATTACTGGGGGTTTTCAAAGATAGGAGTTTGCAAAATGCTCTGAATTTTTGTACTTACAAGATTAGTGACTTTGATGGCATGGATCCTTTAAATTCTCTCTCTCGCTCTTCTGCCTTCAGAACACTTGTAACAAGTTTAAAAATTGCTTGAACAGAAAACTGTTATATTTGCTCAAATCTAAGACAGTTTTGAATTTAAGATGACGCCCCAATAATTCTATTTTATACTTGGAAAATTATACATATGTTGCAGTTTCCATGTATAGAATCTAATTAGTGGAAACGCATTTACTAGGGGAGAAGGTAGTTGGGTGGGGTGGGCATGGGCTTGGGGAGGCAAAGGGTGTGGGGGGCAGGCAGAGGCATGGGGGGCAGGCTGCAGGTTCCTTTCTCCCATCCACCCTCCCCAATTATCCAAGATGAACATGAGCCGCCAGTGCTAGACCGCAGCCATCAAGGCCAGCCATACCTTGTCATGCATCCAAAGAGGCATCTCAAGCCAGTCCAGAGAAGTGATACTCCCCCACTATGCGACATTGGTCAGGCCGCAATTGGAGCATTATGTCCAGTACTGGGCACCGCACTTTAAAAAGGATGTAGCCAGCCTGGAGAGAGTTCAAAGGAGGGCCACCTGTTTGGTGAGAGGGCAGCAGGACAGGCCCTGTGAGGAGAGACTGAGGGACCTGGAACCTGTTTGGCCTTGGGAAGAGGAGACTGAGGGGGGACCTGGTGGCTGCCTACAAACTCATCAGGGGAGATCATCAGCAAACAGGAAGAGCCCATTTCTCCCCAGCACCACCTGGGGTGACAAGGAACAATGGTAATAAGCTGATGGAAAATAGGTTTAGGTTAGAGATCAGGAGGCAATATTTTACAGTTAGGGTGGCCGGAATCTGGAACCAGCTTCCTAGGGAAGTGGTCCTTGCCCGTACCTTGGGTAAATTCAAAAAGAGGTTAGATGACCACCTGTCCGGGGTCTTGTGAACCCAGCATTCATTCCTGCCTGTGGCAGGGGGTCAGGCTAGATGATCTGTTAAGGTCCCTCCTGACCCTAGCTACTATGAAACTATCTTTCCCCTCACTCTGTCAGCCACATGTCCCCTTGCTTGCCAAAAGAGCCATCCTAGCCCAGGACAGGTGGTTGCTCAGCTCCAGCCTTGACCCTGATCCCAGGACTGAAGCAAGAGCTGAGCTACCACCTGCCCCAGGCCAGTAATTGAATCCAAGATGAGGCTTCCCTCCGTCTTGGACAATCTGATGCGGGGAGGAAAATCTTGTCTTGGATTTGAGTAAATACAATACATCTCTTTCTACCACCTGTATATTGTGCTTCATTTGACTATGTACTAATTTGTACCCATACTTTAATTGACTATCGAATAGATGAATCATTTTTTAAATCATTCTACATCTTTACTGCTGATTTCTATTGAAAGATCTGTAGGTTTTATTATGGTCAATGTAAGTATAATATTTACTTTAAATTTAATCTGAAAATCTGTTGAGAAACTATATTATGTACAATTTAATCCTGAAATAATCTAAGAGAATTTAACAATAGAGCAAGTTTGAAAAAAATATGGAAAAGGGATTGATTTAACCAGTCATGTTCTGTACTGCCTTTACTATTTCAGAAGTTGAACCCTTGAAAAACTTCCCCTTCATGGCCTCGCTTTTTTACTTAATTTCATAGCGTTAAAATCTTGTGACTTTTTTTTTTGGTACATGTATTGTTGTTGAACTGTTGAAATATCTGCAAATGTTTGGTAATTCAAAAGGAAAAAACTTAGGAGAGCTTATATAAATAGCATGCTGTCTCAAATTCTGCTGAATATAGAAAAATATTAAGCATTTTTTAGGTTTAAATTTATTTTTAAGTATTAGGTTTTTAGTATTAAAAGCTTTACAAATAAGTATAATTAATTACTGCTTAAAATTAATTATCCTCAGATGATGATGGTATTCAGAGAGAATTCTAATGTGATATGCCAAAGAAAAGCATTCGTGACACAATAAATATTATGACTTAAGTGGAGGAATAAGGAAAAAATACCTATTTAAAAATAAACTTCTTTGATTTTTATAGCAAAAATAAGGAAAAGGTAAATGAACTGATCTATACCTGAAAGGTTTCTATTAGTGAAAGATTTTCTATAAGAAAGAAATCTGGAGTGTTAATATTTAAATGTATCTGTTAGTTATATAACTCTTGTTCTCCATGTAGAAAGGCAGTTCCCACAATGAGTTGCAGTCACTTCAGATACAGAAATTATGTAAAGGAAATGTGTGATAATTAAATCTTTGTTCTACTAACTTGTTTATAGGTGTGGTAGGATTTTTATGGGATTCATGCTTTAAAAACTTAGCTCCTGTTCTCACCATTTAAGGGCTTCTGATCTCCAAAACAGTGTGGCTACTCAGTGTTTACAACTCCATGGAGGATGGGGGTATATGTGGGAGTATCCTATCGCAAAGTAAGTGTAACATTTCAGACTGAATGATGAAAGATAAGTAGGAAAGTAAAATGAGACACTTCCTTCAACTGTATAAATTATTGTGTATTATTGATTTACTTTCCTGTCTCCTTTTTACTGAAAAGCAGATCAGCCATGCAGGTGTTGGGAGAGAGCTATTGTGATCCTCCAAGTTAATTTATGAGCTGTTGAGCAGTCCCTCCAAGTTTTTGTTAGTAATGTGTCAGTGGCTCTTCCTGAAAAATCATTGATTTAAGCATCAGAAGACCAGTATGAGTATAATCGTTTCCATGTTTTATCTGAAAATTGAAACTATAAATGCATGGGTATGAAAGGGGGGAAAAAATAAATGTCCTCTGATCAAGAACTTTAAGGCATTTAGATTAAATTTTTTATTTTGTTTTTTTTCTCATCAGTATCGGGTCTTTTAACTGAAAATTTTCACTTTTGCCTGACTTAAGCAAACAAACCAAACCCTCCTAACAAAAAGCACACTTAACAGAGGCAGTGGAGCCCTTTGAAATACCACCCTTTCTATTTTTCTTACCTGAGAACGTCAGTTGTAACGACTTGGATTACTAAAATTGAAAGGTCTTATAGCAGGGGTGTCAAACTCACTTTGGACCTCAGGCCAGATCCAGAGTGTAGAGCCATCAGCAGCTGCAGTGGCTCAGGTAGACAGTGATCTGATGACTGTTCAGTGGCATATGTGAAATAAATTGGTAATTCTAGTTCTTTCTCTAATGACCAAAAACTCATCTCTCAGAAAGAACCAACAGAACAGTTAGGAGCCCCGTGAGTAGCCTGAGAAGGGACAAGGAAAGGATTTAAAGGGCACCTATATACATGCAACAAGGCTGCTCTAGTGCGCTGGAATTACAGTGCGTTGGAGCAGACTCAATTAAGCGAGCAATTACCGTGCTCCGGCAGACTCCAGTGTCACGTGTATCAGTGTCTCCATGCTAAAAATGGCAGCGGAGGTACGTTAGTTAAAGTGTCCCTACTGTCATTTTTCACATGGGGATGCCGATACATGTGATGCTCCGTGCACTTTAATTAGAGTGGCTCTTGGAGCTGCTCTGATTAAAGGACCCCTCTGTTCCTGGAGCACGTGTATAAATGCCCAAAGAGTGTCTTGCTCAGGGCAGTGAGGCACATTGGTAAAGTAAGATGGGCAAGCATGCACGTCTTTCTCGATTGAACGTATGTTGGATTGTGGATAGATGGAGGGTTTCAATCTCCAAAGCTCTTAATCATCCACTAACTTAATATGAAATTTGGAAGGAAGGCAGCAAAGGAAGATTGGAGAGAGAGGGAAAAGAAGAGGTAGGTTATGCTGATTGTAAGAGGAAGAAAATACTTCACATTAAAAAGATGGGATGCAAAGACAATAACAGAAAAACTTGACAAGGCAGAGTGTGAAAAAACAACACACAAAAAAAGGGAAAATACTTTACATATGAAGTCACAGATTCAAGACAGTTTCCTAGAAATGTTCAGGATGTTGCATGCTCTTGGCTCTCCAGTACTTTTTGTAGAGGTGAGCAGCAACCACTTATGGAACTGATGAGCCTTTTAAAGGATGGACTGAAATAAGGTAGTATCTTGCATTGGAAATAGTGCAACGTAGCATGGAAAAACACTTGTGTATCAGACTGTATAGATGACTTGTTTCAATGAAGTGAAGTAAAGATATTCACGGTGTTGCACTATAAATTTCTTAGAGTGTTTATTAAGGCTGCCTTCATCGAAGGGCTTCGGTCAAATTGTGTTCGTTAGGCATGCAAAAATGGGATATATTGGCAGAGATCAGGTAGAGTTAAATTGATATGAACAGCATGCCCTTAGTTGTATATATTTTTAATTTTTAGGCTTTCTGATGTTTGTAACAACAAAAGTACTGTATTCAAAATTTGTCCTGCCCCTTCAGTAATGGGTAGATATAGACAACTTCATTCTGGGTGCAGACCCTTTTTCATTACCACTGTATACAGGGGTGATATATAGGCCCATTTTAGAAGACGTTTTATACTGAAGCCACTGTGATTTGTATTTTTAGAAGCTTATTCAAAACAAGGAAACTGAAACTTCTGTCTAGTTTACCTGCTGTATTTATCATCTGTGCCTATAGAGTAGAGCAGGGGTGGGCAAAATGTGGTCCGCGGGTGGGATGTGGCCTGCCAAGCCATTCTATCTGGCCCACAGGGCCACTAAAAAATTTAGAAAATTAATATTTATCTGCCCCTGGCTGCCTGTCATGCGGCTTTCAAGGGCTTGCCAAAACTCAGTAAGTGACCCTCCACCTAAAATAATTGCCCATCCCTGGAGTAGAGCCAAGTATTTTAGTTGAAATATTTTTTTATTGATTGTAAATTTTTAGAATTTTACTTGAATCCCTTTTACTGTATACAGTCTTGTTTTTGAGGTCTTCATTTAGTTAAATGTAAAACACCCAACCAAATCCATACATAAAACTGGAACTTTTCATACATTAAATAATTTCATACATTTCTGTAGTAAATAACTTTTCTTTTTTAATAAACAAACCTAAAAGAGGAATAATTGTTCTCAGTCTAGGAAGAACACTGCACTTGAGGGGTGCTGGATGTTAAATAAGGGCCTTCTCATGTAATACACATCTGTTAACTCTTCTTTCTTTCATTATTACTTTAATTTTCCAGAGCTTTTGTGGATTCTCGGGTTCAGACAATCTATGGAGGTACCAATGAAATAATGAAAGAACTAATTGCTAGAAGCATTGTAAGTGACAGCTAGACATATGGATACACTGGAGACCATCTTCCTGAATCCTATTACAGTTAATATGGTATTAAATCAGACACTGGAATGTAAGTAGACAAAAGATGCACTGTATTTTTAATGAGAAGAGCAAGCCCATCTTAAAAATTACTTTAATTAAAAGCACTAATAAGGATAGCATGTTTGTATTGTTGGGCTCTAATGTTTCATAAAGATTAGCATTTAAAGATGCTTGATGGAAACTCTTGGTGAAAGCTCCAAGGCTAATCCTCTTGCGTCATTTTAAAACGCTCTTAGAGGCAAGATGATACACCTAGTGTGTTCTGATTTTTTAAAAGGGATATTTATGTGCTTCTGGAATATTACAATTAACTTGAGGTCTGAAACAAAATGTCATTATATTAAATCCAGCTTGAACTGTTCAGAATGAATGTAATCAAATTTTCAAGAAGCCACTTTCTTCCTGGAAGGCAAACATGTTTAAAGACCCCACAGTTTTAGATCAGCACTGCCTGTTGTCAAATGTAACTTGTGCCTATCTTATTCTCACCTCAGTTTATTTGAATGAGAATGGCCTTAGTATTGATTTTCTTCAATTTTCAGGTTTTACTTATATATGCATGTGTATGTTGCATTCATTTCTATTGCTGAGATGAAATAAGCAACTTTCAGCTTTATTAAAAAATGCACAAACCGCCCCCTAAGGTTTACATGTAACCAGAATTGCCTTATTTCAATGTATACATACTTTTAATAAAATATTTACAAGCAACATGACAATTATCTGTTTTTAAAGTAATAGACTTTTTAAAATAAGTATTTGGAAGTGCCTTGATAAGTCTTGTTTTGGTAGGATTTCTAAGTAACTATGAATGCATTACTCGTTAACAAGCACAATGTGTGTTACTTTGAACATCTGTGTGAACACCTCTGTACAAAGCCTACTGGAAAATATCACTACATTTGTAGGCATAAATTAGAGGGTTACTGTAAGAGTTAAGATAAAGATGTCCACTTACAGGCCATTGAGGCCCATCAGACTTTGTTTCTTCTTAACCTTGGCTCCAGAAGGAGGTGATGTGTTCAGCACCACACTCCAGCTAGCTTTACCCCCAGGCAGCTCCTGGTATGCATTGGATAAGAGGCTGGTGTGCCTCAGGGCTGCCCTGGAAGTGGAAATGAGTGGAAACCTACCACCCTTATCTGGGATCAAAACCAAGTCCTTCCAGTGTGTAGCCAGTTGCCCTAGGTAGCTCCTGGTATCTGTGTAGACTAGAGTATGCTATTAATTCAGGCTTTTTCCTTTTCAAAGAATTGGCTAGGTTTTCAATTAGCCTAGCTACACAACAGCAGAATTGTATTTTAATAAGTCAACCTTTAAGTAGTGATTTGGTGATGTGAAATTAGTATTCTTTAAGAAATACAAACTTCATCATTTCTGTATTGTCCCAGATATACTGCTGAAAATCTAAGCTTACAGAGGGGCACTATTACAGCCGGTGAGTGTATTGGCTATATCGTTAGAAGAGCCAGGAATGGAATCGGGGTAGAATGGCCTTTCCATTACAGGTGAACTTGCCATATATTAGGATTTGAAATACAAGCTTTTCTTCCCGGCCTGGCAGGTATTATTATTTTTATCAAACCCACTGGATGAACAGATTTCAGTCTCTAAGGCTGTCACCATCACAGAATACATTGGCATCCCTTCAGTGCTCAATTCAAAATCACATAAAGGCAATACCTGTCTTTTCTTTCTGGTGCAGCTTGCTTGAGCCTTTCAGTGTTGTAAAAACTGTCTGCACCATTTGGTGTGCTGAAAGGTATCTGTTTGCTTAGGGAAGCTTCTGCCTTTAGCAATTGCATTTTAGCAAGCCACAAACCCTGTTGCACCAACTGTAGCATGGGGCCTGCAGCACCTCAGTGGAAGTGAGTTCAAAAGATTCTGGGCACATCTTTGTTCCTGTTTTTTCCTCTTATGACTTTTCCAAGAAGGGAGACCCCCAGCTGGGACTTTGTGATCTGCATCCAGAAGTGGCAGCGGACTTCTTGCAGGTGGCTTCAAGGGGTACTAGGTGCTGGGGCTCCTAGTGCTGTCTCTGGAAAAACAAAGCCAGGAAGGATCATCCTCAGTCCGGATACTCCTGCCCGGATGTCCACGCAAGTCTGCTGGGGCATGCGGATGAATGCCTGTCGAGCTGTTGGGACTCAGCCCAAGAATCTGACTTGCCTGTTCTTGTGGGGAAAGCTTCATGCCTGCCAGGTCTTTAAACTCTCCACGTTATGAACCTTTTTCGCCCTTTTAGAGATGTCTTTCCTTTGCTCCTAAGGCTTGATCTGGTGTTTTACTTAAGGGAGTGAGAAGGTAGCCTCAGCAAGAGGGGAGGGAAGGGGCTAGGCCCCCTTTGGGTTCTCGGCTGAGAATGGCGGGCGGGGGGGGCTGAAGGCAGTGAGTTTGGACAGAGGCTGCCAGCACCCTGGGCGCGCTGCAGCCTCCCTCTGAGGCGCCAGCAGCGACTCCATTGCGAGGGGCTGCGGCACTCCCAGTGGAACTGCGGCGCCAGGACCCTGCTGCCGCGCCGCTGTGCCCTCGCGCTCGCATTCCAAGCTCCGCGGTACGTTTGCATAGCTCCGCCCCCCGCCGCCTCCCATTGGCCTGCTACCCCCTCCGCTGCGGCGCCGCCCCCTGCCGCTCTTAGCTGGGCGCTGACTGTTAAACAGCG